TTTGTCGGGCAGGTGAGCATCATGGAATGCCAGTTTAATAGAACAAAGTGTTCTTGCATTGAGGGAGTACTTGAGTGGAGGGCCTCAGTTTTTCCATCTGCTAAATGGAATTTCATGTGGATCAGATGAGCTCGATTTGGTTTATGTTGTTCTCCCTGCCCTGAAAAGAGGTAGATACATACTGGCCCCTCCAACCTGTTACTGATACAGATTGGCGTCAGCTTACTGTTGGCAGGTGCCTGGACAAGCAAGATTACATGACAAGGGATGGACATCAGAGGACAAGCAGGATGTCTATTACCGCCTGGTCCAGGAGAATGGCTGGCATGGCCACAGTGCTTTTAAGCTACTACAACTCAATGAAAAATTCCAACTCTTTGAAGGTTTTCACCTGGTGGGTGAGTTGCTGAGGGAGCTGGTTCAAGGGGAACAGACAAGTTGGCTAGGGTTCCAGGACTCCCTGTGGTAGGTAGGCTGACTTGGAGGATCTCTGGGACAAGAGACAGTTGGGAAGATGGGCAGAATCCCGAGGAAGAGTTGAGTGCACGGGTGTTGGCTAGACATGTGCGCTCCCTAAGGGAGACAGGGTGAACTTTGCAAGGTCCCGGGTTGGAGGGATGGGTGCATCTGATTAATACACTTTCCTGCATGTGTCCAGGTGTGGTGCAGCTTGTTGACCTGTGTGCAGCCCCTGGCAGCTAGAACCAAGTACTAAGCCAGAAGATTGTGTGAGTGTATGGGTCGGAATCACCTCAATGGCAGTGGATTTGTTTTTAGTTTTATTTATTTTGAGGGGTTTGAGGTCCCTGGTGGGTTACAAGAGCAGACTCGGTGGGAGAGTTATAGGGGTGCAGACTGGCTGACATGACCATGTTGTCCACAGGGGTGGACATGTGGTGGCTGTGGACCTGCAGGCTGTAGCTCCGCTTCCAGGTATGTTACAGATCCAGGAGGACATCACTCAGGTGAGACATGACCAGGGTCTGTCCTGGACAAAGGCCCCATCTGGAGGTTAAGGAAAGTCAAGTAGAAAATGAGAGAGAAATAGAAAGCCAGGGCCAGTCAACAAGAGCAGGTGTACCAGTGGAGAAATAAGAGAAACGGCACAAAAAGATGAGACTGGTTGCCCAAAGGTAGAGCCCAGTCTTCAATGGGTAAAGCCTAGAATTTAGCTGGACCAAGGTCATGGGCAGGCGGACTTCACAGGCAGCAGCTTGGGCCACTGATTCTCCCTGTCTCTATAGCTATCTACTGCCAAGGAGATCATTCAGCAATTTGAGGACTGACCTGCAGACCTGGTAGTGTGTGATGGTAAGCAGCAGGGGGCAGGGCAGGGAGCTTGTGTGTGTCCTCAGATTCTTCCACCTCTCTTGATTTCTTTCACATCTTCAACTACTCCATACCTCCTACCCTCCATACCTCCTACTCCATACCTCCTACCCTCCTACCCTCAGCTTGCCCCCATATCTGGCAACATTGTGCCCCTAATGCCTGCTCACTGCCTCTGTCTTGCCTCCATCTCCCCCACACCTTTCTGTTTTGTATTTGTTGCCCAGTCCCATTTTATTCTTCATTCGTTTCAATCGTCCATTCAGCACACATTTATTGAGCACCTACTATGTGTCGGGCACTGTTCTAGGCTTTAAAAAAACATTAGCAAACCACTAACCCTTGACCTCGTTGGTGGTCTAGTGAGCACAAGTGGAAAAGAGGCAAAATAAACAGTTGAACTAACTATTACTAAATAATCAATAGTCCAATCAATAAGTAAATAAATGATTGGACTCTGTAGCATGTTAAAAGGTGCTAGGTACCATGAGGAAATCAGTGGAGTAGGGAGGGAAATGGGCAATATAAATATAAAATATAAAAGTTGCTGGGAAAGGCCTCACTGACTTCAGACAAAGCCCTAAAGAGGATGAGAGAGTACACTGTGGGTGTGTCTGGAAGAAGGAGATCCACGGGTATCAGCATCTGAGTACCCCAAACAATCATATCTATGCGAGTGAGCGAGGGGGCCAGAGTGGAGACCCGAAGCTCATCTGTAGAAAATTGGACATCCCCTCACAGAAGGCTCACAACGAAGGGACAAGCCAGCCAGGTACAGTATAGCACTGACGAAACACACAACATTCCTCTAGTTCTTAAATGCTTCATCCCCCCCACTATCATGACCCCAGTTCTACCTTACAAATCTGGCTAGACCAGAGGGAACATGTACACTATACAGACGAGCTCTCAACACAGGGAATCCAGGACAGATGAACCCCTCAGGAACAGTAATGGGAGTAGCGATACCATGAAGGTAGGGGGAAGGGGAGGGGAGGAAGAGGGAACACAGTGACCAACGTATAACCCCACGCCAAGGGGGGATGAACAACAGAAATGAGGGTGAAGGTAGATAGCAGATAGTATAAGATATGAAAATAATAATTTAATTTTTATCAAGGGGTTGGGAGGGAGGGAAAAAAAGAGCTGATACCAAGGGCACAAGTAGAAAGAAAATATTTTTTAAATGATGATGGCAACTTATGTACAAATGTGCTTGATACAATTGATGTATGGATTGTTATAAGATCTGTAAGAGCCCCCAATAAAATGACTTATAAAAAACTGATATGTAAATCCCCCCCCCTCCAGTTCAAAATAAAAAGTCTGGAGAAGAAAAAAAATGGTAGGAGATCCCAGGGAACAGACATTTGGAAAGCCGGAGCTGGAAGCGTGCTCTTAGGCCATGTAGTAGCTGGAACAGAGGGAGTGAGTCAAGGACATAGTCAGAGAGGGGGCCGGGCCCAGATCCTGTAGGTGAGGGCTACTGTGAGCGCTTTGGCTTTTTTCTCTGAGTAAGCTGGGGGGCTCAGGAACAAAACCACGGGGAGGATTCTGAGCAGAGGAGGGTTGTGCCTGATCTGGGCTGTAAGAGGATCCCTCTGGCTGCTGTGAGCAGTGGAAGGGATGGAGGTAGAAGCATTGTTAGTCCAGTGAGTGGCGTGGAGACAGTGGTAGCAGCAGTGGAGATGAGAAGAAGGTGGATTCAATACCAAGCTTATTTTCCTTCCACAAATAACATGCTCATGCACATAGTCCACATAAGAATCAACCAGGACAGGGCCTGGACAGTTATGAGGGGGGGTGTTGTGAGTGTGTGTGTGTGTGTGTGTGTGTTTTAAAGGGGTGGTGCCTGGAGCAGTGTGTTGTTTGTGTAAAAATAGGATATGTTTAGGGGAGTAGAGCTGACAGGATTTACTCTTGGCTCCGATGTGGCCAAGGTCAAGGGTAGCAGCTAAGGTGTGGGGCGGGCCTGAACAGTTGTTCAAGGCTCAAATGAGATGGGGAAGGTGGTGGGAGAAGGTTTAAGAAGGAAAATCAGGAGTTTGGTTTGGCATATGTTGTGCCAGCATCAATTTTGATCTGCGAGTCTGAAGTACAGAGCTGCTGTGTGGGCTAGAGAAGGAAATGATGATAATGGTACTTGCACATTTGGTTGTTTTGAAGATTAAAATAAAGGGCTAGGAACTCAGAGTAAGCATCCATTGTCTCTGGTACAGAAGAGACATATACCCAAAAGCTCCCTCCCCCTTCCTCCTAACAATGTGCCTCTTGCCACAGTGACTGGCCTTCACAATGTTGATGGATACTTGCAGGCCCAGCTCCTCCCAGCTGTAAGTAACCCTGGCCAGCCCCTGCCTGTTTGGCCCCTTCCTAGCTGTTTCTCTCTTAGCCTTAGTCATCTGTCTTGTCCACAGGCTCTGAACATTGCTACACAGGTTTTAAAAGCAGGGGGCTGCTTTGTGGCTAAGGTGAGTGTAGGGAAGCGTGGTGTGGGTGTAGGAGGGGTCCTTGAGGACTGCCCTCAACCCTCCCCACCTCACCTCACCCCACAGATCTTCCGAGACTGTGATGTGACGCTGCTCTACAGCCAGCTATGGGTTTTCTAATCTAATGTGGTGTGTGCCAAGCCCAAGAGCAGCGGCAACTCCAGCATTGGTCAGTCCAGGGCTGGGTGGGCAAGGCAGGTCAGCAGCAGTGTTGCGGGAGTGGGGAGGCTTTTATATGGGCAGGGATGACAGTCATTCCTCACTCCAGATTCCATCTACAGAGGTCTTCACTGTCTGTCAGGGTTATGACCCTCCTGAGGGGTTCATACCAGACCTGACCAAACCCCTGTTGTACCACACTTATGGTGAGAGCCAGAGCTGTGGGCCCTATCCCTGGGGAAATGATGGAAAGTGCTGATGTCTCATAAAAAACATTCAGCCCAACTCTCAATGGAGACTCTGTCCCCTGAGAGGAATTCTATCCCCTGAGGATTCTCAGCCCTACCTTTTGTCATTAACTCAGTCTCATTGGGGGAAGGTTGCCTTATTAGGGGCCTTAGCCCTACCTCCTATTCTGGGAGGATCCTCTGCCCTAAACACCTTATCGATGTTTTGCTATAGTCTCTGGTGAAAGTTCTGTTCAGGAGGAGCCCTGCCCTGTGGAGACCCTACCTGTGTACATAAATTTTACCCCAGGTAGCCTATCAAGAGCCATGGTGGCATAGTGGTCTTGGGTTAGACTGCAAACCACAAGATCTGCAATTCAGAACCACCCGCCGCTCCATGGGAGAAAGATGAGGCTTCTACTCCCGTAAAGGGTTAAGTCTCAGAAACAAACTCCCAGGGGCAGTTCTCCCTGTCCTTTAGAGTCACTGAGCCGGCATGACTCATGGCAGTAAGTGAGGCAGCCCATCCATTTTACCCCCGCTGGAAATTCCACCTCTGGAAATTTTACCCCTTAAGGGTCTTTAGGCTCTCACCCCTTTGGTGTAAAAAAAAGAGAGAGAGAGAGTTTATCCTTGTGAAGATTACATCTGAGTGAGACAAGGTATAAACTCAAAGTAATAGAATTTCAAGTGTAGAGATGTGTTATGGAAAAAATTAGCCCAGGGGTACTAGTGTTCTGAAGGGGATGGTTAGAATGGCCCCCCTGAGGTAATGTTCTGAGCAAGTGAGAGATTTCTGGTGGAGGAATGTGAGAACAGATGGGGAGTATTTGAGGAGGACGGGGCATGGATCCTCTAGTGCAGTGGTTCTCAACCCTTTAATACAGTTCCTCATTTTGTGGTGACCCCCCACCTCAACCATAAAATTATTTTCATTGATACTTCATCACTGTAATTTTGCTACTGTTATGAATCGGGCGACCCCTGTGAAAGGGTTGTTTGACCCCCAAAGGGGTCGCAACCCACAGGTTGAGAACCACTGCCAGTAAGACAATAGTCATTGTGTTTTATTTATTAGAAGCAGTTCAGTGACTTTTCTCTGAACATCTTATGTTTCTCTTTACGCTTCTGCTGAAATTAAAGCAATTTAATGACTATATTTTTAGCTCTTTGAACCGTTTCAGGAATTGGATAATTCAATCATCATATCTCGTAGGAATTTGGGGCATAACAAAAAGCAGAAACGAACAACTGTGTGTCACCCTCTGGTTGTTTCCACAGCTCGAGGACAGCTCTGAGTACCGGTACATTCCACCCACACAGCCTCCCATCTCTGCCCCATACCAGGAGGTCAGCACGCTGAAGAGGAAGGGGCCGCTGGCCAAGGGCAGTCACTTCCATGAGGCCCCTATCAGCACAGTGGATATGTTGCCCTAACCCCTGGCTGACCCACCGTGCCACGCCCTGCTGACCTCTGAGGTCTGGAAACATGGTCAGGGCCACCCTTTCTCTGAACTGACATTGACCCCCGTCCAGTGTGCCTCCTCCTGAGCTCCCTAAATCATATGGGTTTGTGGGGCAAAATGATCTTCCCTGCCTCCCAAAAGCTGTAGAATGCAATGGGTAAAGCCAAGCATCATCGGCAGAAAAGCTCAGTATCTGAGTCCCTTTCATTTTTCTTTGATAGGGAGAAGACAGTGATATGAATGGTTCACCTTAACACATTAAGGTAATCTTGCCTTTTATCTAAGAGCTTGGCTAAAGAACCCTCCCTCCTTTTTTTCCCTCACCCACATCATCTTGTTATATTTTATTTTGATGCACCATCGGTTGGAATTTTTCATTCAGACTCTTCTAAAATATTGCAGCAGTTTCACATAGTATATTATCAAAGTTCCCAATCCTTTCGATATGAGTCATTAAACATACCAAGTATGTTTTTGGAACCCTGAGTCTGTAGTCACTCATTAAAGGACATCTTTAAGAAAAGCTCAAAACTACTTCCTGTGAGATTTTCATCAAGCCTTTATTAAGTACTTGTTGCAGGCCAGGGTCTGTTTTAAGCATTTGCTACTTAAGATACTCAGAAAACTTTATGGAGCACATACTATGTTCCAAGCACTGATCTAGGTTTGAAGAGATAGCAGGGAACAAAACAAGCACACTATGGGGGTGCATCAAAAATTTCATCAACAAATTTCATTCGTTTTTCGCTTTTCTACAAACTTTTTGAAGTCCTCGTATTTATGGTTGTTAGCTCTGCCTTCCTGGAGTGTGTTTCACTATATACAAGGGAGCTTCAAAAATTCATGGAATTTTAAAATACTGGAATTTTTCCATGAGCTTTTTGCAGGCCCCCCAGTATTCATAGGTTATTATAGAGAATGAAACCATAAAAACAAGCTCATTACCATCAGGTTGATGCCAACTCGTAGCAACCCTATAGGACAGGGTAAAGCTGCTCCTGTGGCTTTCTGAGACTGTAATTGTTTACAGTCTTGCTCCCATGACAGATGTAATAAAGGCTATTAAAACAATAGGAAAAGCAAAGCTGAATAAAGAGGCCATAGTTTGCAGTGAGGGTGGTTGTGGGGGGACTCATTGAGTAGATAATTGAGCAGCAAAGACCTGAGGTTGATTAGGGAGAAAATGCATGTGTTTATTTAGAGGAAGAGCATCTTAGTAGTAGAAATAGCATATGTGAAGGCCTGGAGGTAAAATTGTCCTGGATGTTTAAGGAACAGCGAGGAAGACAGCTGATCTATGGCAGAGTGAGCTCAATCTGTTAGTACAAAGACACCATTCATAGAGTTGAAATGAACAGCACAGTGTGAAAAACTACTTATAGCTTCTGTGTAGATTACCCTTGATCTAAAAAAGCCACGTGGGAAAGGGGGAACTGATCACAAGGTTGGATATATAACCCCCCCTCAAAGGAGGACGAATAATAGAAATGTGGGTGAAGGGAGACAACAAACGGTGTAAGATATGAAATAACAATAATATGTAATTGATCAAGGATTCATGAGAGGAGGGGAAAAAAAACTCAAGTAGAAAATTTTTGGAAATGGTGGCAAAATATGCACAAGTGTGCTTGATAAAATTGAATTATGGATTGTTATAAGATCCTTAAGAGCCCCCAATAAAATGGTTTAAAAAAATTTAAAGCCACAGATAAGAAAAAGAAGTTCTAAGGACAGCCATTGGAACATGCAAAGATGCTCATTAGGGCATCATTCAGAACAAATTACTAAGATTGACAATGCTAAGTGTTTGGAAAGGTCTTGGGATAATTGGAACCCTCATATATTGCTGGTAGGAATGTAAAATGGGGGAGTAAGATGACTGCTATTGGCTTTTTTGAACTGTGTATGTATATTTCTCTGTTTAACTATTAAATACATCTCCTTTCTAATTTCATTCTTTCATTTTACATCTCCTTTGTATGCTCCCCTAGTAATTCTAATGTACATCACTAGTTAAGAGCCACAAAAATAGAATGGGGTTGAGTTTTTCAATGAAGCATACCTCTGCAGTTCTGTGATCTAAGATGAGAGTATTACCTCCTCCCTGGGGGATGGACAACAGAAAGTGGGTGAAGGGAGACGTCAGGCAGTGTAAAATATGATAAAATAATAATAATTTATAAATTATCAAGGGCTCATGAGGGAGGGGGCAGCGGGGAGGGA